TTTTTTTGTCTTTTTTGAGACAAGGTCTCCCTGTAGTAACAGCTGACCTGAACTCACTATGTAGACCAGGCTGGCCTTGAACTCACAAAGATTTGCCTGCCTCTGCCTCCCAAGTGCTGGGACTAAAGGTGTGCACCACCATGCCTGGCAAAAACATGTTTTTTATGTGCCCTTTTCATACAGTATTACTCATGGATGATTAGAATTTTAGGATAGTATGGTTGGAAATATGTTTTCAAGTGGTATTCCTTCCAGAGCACCCCCACACTGTTCAGTGTTCAGTGGAACACTGCCCTTTGCCTGAGTATGTCCACAGCATAGTCTTTCTGGGGCAACATGAAAGGATGTTGAATTGGACCCTTGAAGTGGTTCTCACAGATGCACAAAGCTGTATTTCTTTCATTTCTTCTCATTTTTATTAGTTCTTTGAGAATTCCATACAGTGTATCTTGATCATATTCACCCTCTTTCCTTCAGCCCCTTCCAGATCCACCCTTTCCATTTTGTGTTTTCTCACTCTTTTTTTAAACCCATCAAGTCAAATTTGTGCTACCCGTATACTCTTAGATGTGGGGTTATACCCTGAAGTGTGGTTTACCTACCAGGAGCCACAACTTTAAAGAAAACCGAATTGTCCTCTCCCAGGAGCTGTCAGTTGCCAATAGCTCCTCAGATTGGGGTGGGACTTGGTTTTATCTAGCTTGAACTTGAGTAGATCTTGCATATACTGTCAAAGCCACTATGAGTTCATATGTGCAACTGCCCTTCCCCAACTGTGAACCCTGAGAATTACAATAACAGCCAGTCTGGAAAGATATGCATAGTGTTACAATAATGGCATGGATGTCCTAGGAGTAACCAATCACCTTCTGATCGTATTTAAGGCCTGATCCACAAGATGAAACCCACAGCTGGCATTGTTATTGGGGTCTTTAACCTGTGGCTAGACAGGTCATAGGCCCTAATGGAGAACCTACTACTATCTTCTGCTAAAGGATATAGTGTTAAACCAACTTGACAAAGTTGTATTTCTAAACAAAGAGGAAATATTTCCATCTAGTCTCAACATACTAATAAAATCACCAGTATGGTAAATACTCACCGTATATTTGAGAGTGTAGCTGTTTAAGACGTCCACTGGAATTTTTTGCATTAAAATATACTATGTGTTCCTTTACATTGGATTTCATGACAAGAATTCAGTAAGGAAACCATCATTCTTTCTTGTTTTTCCAACAGTGATTCCTATCAGGATTCAGTTGCTGTAAAGGCCTCCTTCTTTTAAAAAAAACTCCTTTGCAATTCACCTCACCTACCAGGTCCAACCTCAACCTTCAGTCCACTGCAGATATATGGACTACTTGAAATCAACACAACCATATCGATCTTCTCTTGACAGTTTTCTAGAGTAAACTAAACTTAAAAGCAGGCATCAATTTCTTTTTAAATTTATTTATTTTTAGTGTTTTGCCTGAATGTATGTAAGTGCATATAATGCTTGAAGAGGCCAAAAGAGAGCATCAGATCCCCTGGAACTGGAGTTATGGTCAGTTGTTAGCTGCCATGTGGGTGCTAAAAACCAAACCCAGGTCTTCTGCAAGGGCAGCCAGTGCTCTTAACTACTGAACCATCCCTCCAACCCCAAGTCCCTGTTTCTATTAATAAAAATCTAGAAGAAGCTTGGGCACATGTCACTGTAGTTATATACTTCACAACTGCTTTTGATGTTGATGTGCCCCACTTATTTTGTTTGTTTCAGAACTAAGCTTTAAATCAAAAGCCTTGCGTATGCTAAGCAAGTGCTTACCACAGAGGTACAGTCTCCTCTTCTCCTTTTGTTCTTACAACTTTCTATTTTGGGCTTTCTTGTGGTGTATTCTCTTCTACACCTTCCCACATCTGGATTTCTCCTTTTAGGCAAAAGAGAATCATGTCAAACTCAGTGTGAAACAAGAAGAAATGGGGGCTTACATGTGTGAGGCAGTGTGCCAAACAATGGCCCAATGGAAAGGGCACCACGCTACACGGTGACTAGGGAAGCCCAAGCAGGACCTGCTTCCTTTCGGAACATGAAAAGTCTCTTCCTCACTCTACTACATTTTTTTTGGAAATGTGGAAACTGTGTGATAATCTCAGGGCACAGATAAAGATTTGCTGAAGCTTGTGGCATAGGAAAAGGTCTCTGACATTGTGTCCCTGTACAAAGTCCTTGGGAACGTTACCAATGTCCCCAACTGAGCCAGGGGGAGGAAGTTGACATTTAAAGATAAGATTTTTTTAAAGGCAGTGGCTTTTGTAACTTCTACCACACATGACACAATGACTTAAAGAAGATATAAATAAGGAATACAGCTCAGTTCTGTTGAAGGCTCTTCCTGGCAAGATGAAGTCCACTGTCTTCATCCTTTCTCTGATCCTCTTTCTGGAAAAGCAAGTGGCTGGGATTGGATTCTATGGTGAGTATGGGGAAAGGCGGCTGGAGGGAAAGGCACTCAGGAAGAATGTTCTTAAGGGTATTCTGGAAGGAAGCAGAATTCTCTGCAGGTGATGGTGAGGAGAGCTGGGTCTTCTCTACTACAACCTAAATCTCTTCTGAAACAAGCTGAACTATGGGTGTATGTGTGAGGTAGTATGTCAAACAATGGCATAATGAAAAGAGGCAAATCTAGAATTAAGACTCAGAAAGGAACTGTACAAATAATGTAACAAAGTTTCTTATTATGCATTACCAGGTGGTGAGGCAAAAGGCCACTTTGCAAGTAGCTCCTCCAAATTTCTATTTGGTCAAAAAGGTGGTCTCAGTTACGGGAATAAAGGAGGCAGTGAAGGCAAAGGTGGTCTCAGTTATGGGAATCAAGGAGGAAGTGAAGGTGCAGCTGAAGAACGTATGTTTGTACAAACTAAACATCGAGTAAGTGACCAGGACGGTGATATGAAACAGACACGCATTTCACAGACACTTACAGGCAGAAAAGCAGCCACACGTTGCAGTAATGAACAAATCGCCCGACGAAAATTCCAAGACTCCCAAATGAAATCTCACAACTCCCAACTAAGATCCCAGGAAGGCCAACTAAATTCCCACATCCAAATAAAATCCCAAGACACCCAGTTAAGATCCCAAGAAAGCCGAGCAAAGTCCAATGTCCAGAGAAAATCCCAAGGATCCCAAGATTTTTTTACTCAGCAAAGTAAGCAAAAAGGCTTTGCCATGGATGAAGAGCTGTCAGGAGTTCACACAAAAAGTGAAGAAGATGTCCAACAGGTACAAGAAAAGTCTGGTCAATATTCAAAAACAGGCAGCTCAGCCCAGTTCGGACAACAACGTTCACAATCCTATGAAGGATATCTTGAACAATATAAACAGAAATTACAGGATCATTATCAACAAAGAAAAAATTTTAATCAAGACAAAATGCAGCAATATTTTTCAAAGGGAGGGTCAGAAATGTATCAACGTCAATATAAGGAATAATGTATTCACTGGCCATCTGAAGATCAAAGTCGAGATCAAGGTATGGTTCTACCAAATAGGAGAGCTATCTTATTCTAATGTTTACTTATGGTCCATGAGGATGCCCCGGGGCCATTGTGAGATTGATACCCATTATGCTTATTAGTGGAAGTGTTATGTTACAAGCTTTTAGAAAGATGAGGAGCATTGCCTGATAAAGTGAGCCCTTGGTATAACAAAGATGGAATAAGATACCATCACTGGGTCCTGAATTCTCTCCTTAAAGTGGTATATTCAATTATTTTCTTTGAACCTAACCAGACTTTATATCTTTAAAATTATGTGACTTCTTGACTGGATAGGACTTAAGATATATGATAGAATGCATGAAATTCGGTCGGGGGGAAGAATTCTAAATTTGATTAAGATCTATTATATTAAATGCACAAAAACTCAAAAAAGGTACACATTAAAAATGTGTACCATCTATACCATTATAGTTATACTTTTATGATGTAATCTTGTTCATTATTACACCTTGACTTAGTAAAGATTTGTTTCTTGCTTGTATAGTATTTATTACTGCAGATAATGTTCACTTTCTCCACACAATAATTGTTCTTGAGTCTCTGTTAGGGTACATCCATTCTCTATCAGAAACCATGGGAGATTAGCTGTCCTCTTCATCAGATTAGAGGAAAGCCATGATTACAAAGATCTCTGTTTGGTGCAGATACTGTTTTCAGCTGTGAACCCACTGTTGAGCTCACCATACTACAAAGGATAGTTCCAAATCCATGGTGACAGAGATGGCCATGGTTATACTCAGCGGATCTTGTGACAACAAAAGAAAAAGACATGAATGTGGGAAACGGACTCATAGGGAGGAGGTGGGTGGGTAGCAGTGGAGAAAGGAAAATAAGAGAGGATGTGGGTGACAATAATCAAAATGCTCAAAAACTTCTCAAAGAACAATAAAATATAAAAACAAATCCCTATTTGTAATACAGGAGAGTTTAAAAGTAAGCATAGGCTAGTAAAGAACCACAGGTTGCAGTAGGAAATTTGTAATATCAGGAGTGAAGTCTGAACCCAAGCAGGGAAAGGTGATGTTCACTGCATGTTTGTATTAAGGAACACTTAATATAAAAATGTAAAACGTCAAACACAATAGATGCACTTAGGGTTCATTAGGGTCTTAGTAGCCTAATATGCCAATTTGTAGAAGTTGATTCTGATAGAATTGAAAGAGGCAGAGGTCCTCCATCTACATCTACAACTTGTAACTACCCTCACATCACTTTTGTTCTTTCTCTAGGAGTCAGCTTACCAGAGCACAGTCTATAATACCTTCAGGATGCAGACTGCCTTGGGGTCCTAGATCTTTGGTTCATGGACAACCACCTGTTCACACTTGCTTTTCTGTAGGGCTTCTAAAGCTCGAATGTCCTCAAACCCTTGATTTCCAATAAAAAGATAATTTTCTGCATCACTTGCCTTGTTTACTGAGATCTTATTCCCATACATTGGTAGGCTTGGGGGCTTCCTGAAGGACAGCTCCAAAGAAGAGGAAGAGATTATTGTAGACTTAGGGAAAATTTCAGTGAAATCCACATTTCTATATGTCTAGATAGAAGCTTAATATTACAAAGAAAGTGCTGGAACTCTGCCAGTCCCCTGTGGACCATCCGAGGTCAACCACAAGACCCCTCATAACTCTTTTATGAGTGATTCTTCCAAAACTAAGCTTCCCCAAATGGCAGAGATGCACTGCAGCATGCCATGGGGAAGTCTTTGGTTACTGTAGCCCTAATTGCACCACTCCACAGCAGCTCTTCACCACCCGTGTCTTGTGTATTCTTCTCCTACAACTTTCTCTCCTAAGCAAATGTCCCTCAGTATTATATGTAAAGTCTCTCTCACTTTGGAAAGAAGGAATAGTCTAGTATCTTAGAGAAGCATGTGGGGAAGCAAATCCTTTAGGATCAGAAACAAATATGAAGTCAAAAGATCATTGGTCTAAGCAGTTTGGTTTCCTGTTTCATCTCTGCAATAGAAACATGTCTGTTTTCAAATCTGTTTTTATCTCTGAACTGAAGTCCACAATTTATATGTGGGACGTTTCCTTCAGTAGTTTTTAAGTTCATGAAATCAAGTAAGGCTTTCACACTTCTGTGAGTAAACAGAAATTGGACTGACAGGGTTATGTAGCAGAGAATATGTTTGATACTTAGAGAAAAGGAAGAATCACCCCGAGTGTCATTTAATGAAAGACTTGCCCCTACCACCACAGCCCCAGAGAATCACGCGTAGGTGCAAGAGTCATTGTCGTATTTGATTCTGGAAGGTGTAGCCATTTAATTAAGCACAGAGATAAAGTTCTTCCTCACTCCAGGTTCAGAAAGTTTAGGCGCCATCTATGCATACATGGAAACAGAAACTTCTTCTGAGTTTGAAATGGAGTGGATAAATGGAGTTGCCCTGTAATAGGGGATAATTCCTCTCCCAAACATTGTAGGCTAGCAAATAAAAGCCCAGCGCAGGGTATGGGTTACCCCGGTATTGAGTTGTTGGTCAGTGGGATCCCATACACACCACAAACATGACAGACTACTGCCATGGCTCTTGGTTACACTCCAGAACTTGATGGTAAGACCCTATTGCTAAATATGCACACACCCATGCATGAAACACACATCTACGCATTAATAAAGAATGCTTTGAGCAATGTGACATACTTATCAAGACTCCATGTGAAGAGGAAAGATTGGGGCAATTCATTGGCATTTGCTCTCTCTCCACTCTTGAGAGTGGGTGTGATGCTTCAGGCTCCTCTCTTGATGTCCCACAACAGTAGACTGTAACCTGGAATTGTAGCTAAAATAAACTTTTTATTCCCTAAGTTGCTTTTTGTCAGGATATTTTTATCACAGGAACAGAGATGAAACCAGGACACGTGACAAGGCAGAATCTTTGGAATTGAATCAGAAACCACGCCTGTTGCATTTTGGCAAATTACTTGTCTACCCCTTGTGCCCTGAAGCTCTGTATGTGGCTGAATCTCAATATGATGACTTCATTAATCTGGAAGATAAAATTTAAAGTAGCCCCTCATTCGGGTTGTGGAATGGATGTTTCTGGCCAGTGTAGCCAGATTGACAGTGACAAAGCAAAGCAGACAAGAAAGATTTTAAAACTTGCAGTTTGAACATAAAAAATACATCCAGTGATACATTCTAGCTAGTCATCCTTGCTGAGGAGATTAGTGCCATTAAATGAAGCCAAATACTTTGACTGAGATCACTGAAAGGTAAATTGAGGATATCTCAGAAGCAACCATCCTGAGTGAGGCAACCAGACCCAGAAAGACAAACGTCGCGTGTTCTCTCTCATAGCTTTGAGCTCTTGGATACGCACGTTTCAACTGGAAAAGTCAGAGAGGTCAAGAAACTAATAAATGGCCATGGGTGGGGCATCAGGAGAGGGGAGAGAGAATGCAGTGACATAAAGGACGGGAAGGAATAATAGACTAGGAAGGGTTAAGTATGGTGAGACATGGAAGAGCAGGGTGGAGGAGTGCGCACGGGGGAGATAAAACCAACACTAAAGACTTCAGAAAAAGCCATATGGAAACCTGTTACCACTATAGAAACTTCTGTGTGTGCGTGCGTGCGTGCGTGCATGTGTGCGCACGCGTATGCCTATAAAGTCTAATTTGTGTCCCCTAATGTGTGGGTCCATCCACTAGAGGCTGGTCAACCTACCAAGAATCCCATCCTTAAAAGAGACCAACTCTCTCCCTCTAAGTAGCCATCAGTTGTCAATAGTCCCTTGGGTAGGATGTGGGTTTCATATCCACTTCTCCATGTCTGTGCTGGGATTTTTTTTTCTGGCTTGAGCTTACATAGATGGGACTTGTGCATGCTGTCACCATTACTGTGAGTACATATGAGTAACTGGCAAGTTGTCTGGAAAACTCTTTCTTTTAGATAATCCACTTATCCTCTGTCTCTTACAATCTTCCTGCCCCCTCTTCTTTGATGATTCCTGAGCCTTAGGAGGCAAAAGTTTGATATAGATGTTCTGTTCAGGGATAAGCACTCTGCAGGCTCTTATTCTCTGTACGTTGGCCAGTTGTGCATCTGTGTTACCACCAGTTACATAAGGAAGCTTCTCTGCTGAAAGTTAAGAGATGCATTAATCTATAGGAATAACAATAAATCCTTAGAAGTGAGCTTAATACTATATTTATTTAGCAGAAAACTAGTATTAGGCTCTCCCCTATGGCCTGTGACCTGTCTAACCTCAGATTCAATGATATCACTGTGAGGTATGGAATCCATCCTATGAAGCAGACCTCAAATCCAAATAGAAAGTAGCTGGTTACTCTCATAATATCTGGGTCACTATTGCATTTGTGGGCATATTTTGCCAGACTCATTGTTTGTAGCTCACAGATTCACAGCAGGGTCAGGTTGATGACTGATTTCTCTTCAGATAGCATGTATAGCAACTTCCAGCACTATGAAAGCTGGGCAGTAAAGATAAGGCTTTGAAGTCAGAAACAGCTTGATTTCTCCTTGTTTGTTCTACAACTCATGTATGTAGTGTCTTCAACAAGAAGGTCTTACTGTGAAGTTCCGGTGGGTAACCAAGAGAGGGGCGATGGCTAATGTTGGTTGAGAGTCTATAACACTCTAATCAACAGCTTCAAAAGGGGAAGTCCATTCATGGCATTAGGCTTTTATTTTGATAGCCTATGTTATCTAGTAGGAGCAGTATACCCTGCTATAAGGAAAGATGCTGCAACCTTCTGGAACCCTACTAGGAAAAGGGTCATGAGGGCCTTTAGGAATAGCCTTGGGTGCTGTACAGGCCGATGACTGGCAGAGTTCCACCAGCCTGTTTTTAATGTTGCAGTTATAAACGTAGTTCCAGTTATATGTCTACAGTCATTATTATCCATAATGCTAAACAACATAGCCACATTAATGTAGCCTTTTAATTTAGAATTTTCAGTTGCAAGGATGACCTTCAAGCCTCTAAATTTGCAGCAATTGACAGATCTTAGGAGTCAAAAGCAAACGATGAAGAAAGTTAGCTCTTCAAAAAAAGCTCCAAGTTGGAAATCCTAAGAGAATGAAAGCGAGAGTGGGTAACGTGGTCCATGAAAATATGGGCCATGTAGAGTCTGCATCTTGAGGACATCACAGATTCTCTCAGGCGAGGTAACTCCTAGGAACAGGGGACAATGAGTGACATGGGAGTAGTGAAAACTAGAGGGTAGGGATGGAATGTTTGACCTGTATCCCTTGTACTGGGCCAACTTAGGTCCATTATAGTGATGATGCACTTGTGATCACTGGGTCCGCTAATTATGTTTTTTTTTTCTCTACCTCTACTTTGAAATGTTAAGTAAAACCTTGCTGGAATATAATTTTTATTTTCTGGATTTTATATTTCTTACCTTATGTTACAAATATTCAACTGGCAACTGCTTCCTCAACAAACTCTGGAGCCTCCCTTTCAGATCTCCTCTATTAAAAACAGGGATGTTTCTTTGTTCTCATCTTTCCTGTATTCTTAGTGAACAGGCACCTAGTCCATGGTCCTGTGGTCTCTGAAGGAGGGAGGTACCTTAACAGGGATGGAAGCACATTTATTGATAAGCCAAATATATACATATATATATATAATTACTGCTGTAATATTTTATAGTAACATAAGCAAGAAATTGAGCTTTACTAATAAAAGTAAAAAATCAATGAAATTATATCATAAACTCACGAACATGGCTATAAAGGTGATGCATATTTAAATAATTCCTGGTTACATGTGTGCAAAAGATATACATTGAAAATCTCCACTAAAAAGAGGAATTCAGAACCCAGTGAGAGCCTAGGGAACTAGATTTCTTCCTTTTCTTCTTCTTCTTCTTCTTCTTCTTCTTCTTCTTCTTCTTCTTCTTCTTCTTCTCTCTCTCTCTCTCTCTCTCTCTCTCTCTCTCTCTCTCTCTCTCATGTGTTATGAGTATTTTGCCTGCATGTAAGTACACCCATGCCATGGAGGCCGGAAGAGGATGTCAGATCCCCTGAACTGGAGTTATAGATGGCAGTTAGCTGCCAGGTGGGCGTTAGCAACCGAACCTGGGTCCTCTTAAGAACAATCAGTGCTGGGCTGGAGAGATGGCTCAGCAGTTAAGAGCACTGACTGCTCTTGCAGGGGACCCAGGTTCGATTCCCAGCACCCACATGGGGGCTACGAACCATCTTTAATTCCAGTTCCAGAGGAATCCGAAGCCCTCTTCTGACCTCCGCGGCATTGCACCACACGGGTGCACTCACATACATGCAGGCAATACACTCATACACATAAAATAGAAATAATAAATAAAATTTTTTTAAAAAGAGCAACCAGTGTTCTTAATCACTGAGCCACGAACTAC